TCTCTCGCACATGTCTATACTTTACCTTTAATGGTGATTTGCTTCTCTAATACGGTTATCATATGCACATGTCGTGTAATGGATCAGTGATGAAGCTTTGCTCTTCATCTTTAAAGGCTAATCATCTCACACAAGACTTACATAGTCCCTTGTCTCACACACCTACGATACATTGACCTCATTAAAGGATAACCCTGCTAACCCTCATCGATTGTTCTCTGTGCCCATATAATTAAGGATTTTTCAAACTCAACTGGTCTAACTCGTCTAGTCAAGTCTGAGTATCTGCAAATACCATTTACCTTTCTCGGTCCCTCTATATCATAATCTCTTGGTCCATCCGGATGACACTCCTATTGAAATTCTTTGTTCCACGATATCAAATATTGTTTACATGCTCTTATAAGATTTTTAATGACCAAAGAAACCCAATATTGTCTCTCGTACCACCCCAAACCTATTATTTCCTCTTCTCATATTTTTATGAGAGATGTGAGAGAAGGGAAGGATGCATCGGTTTTTCAAATAGAAGATGTGAGAGGAGGGAAGAAACCATAAGAACAAAGTGAGAGATGAGAAGCTTCAAGAATTTGTTTTTAAAAGAAGCGCAAATCCGTATGTTTACCCCTTTACAAAAAGTGGGAGGGCCAAAAGTCAAAAACAAAATCTCTAAGAGACCTCATTGTTTAAAAGAAAATTCTTATAAGGCTTTTGTCTTAAAAAGCCCCCCCTTTTTTTTTTTATTAATTTTATTAAATTCATTTAAAATGTGTTTTTCCATTTATTGATCAATTCGAATAAAAAACTGATTAGGAGCTCAAAACTTGCTCCAAATCATCTATGGATCAATTATAACAAAAAATTGATTTGGAGCTAAAAGATTGCTCCAAATCCATCTCCCTTCCTAGATTACACTAGAGGTCTATTTGAACGACAATTTGATCCATGATTTTAAGAACTATATATATTTTATTTTCTCCTTTTCATCTTAGTACAGTTGACAGAATTAGATCTGTGGTTTTATTGACTAAAAAATCTATATTTTTGTTTTGGCCTTTTGTTGTTTTTGGTTCTTTAATGAAATTGACCAAAAGATTGAAAGATGCCACAAAAAGTTTATAAAATGGAAAGCTTATAAACGAAACTGAAAAATTGGTAGAATTACCGAATGGTCCATATCTTTTAGGGAAAATGACCTCTACCCCCAATTTGATCCATGATTTGATCCATGATTTTAAAAATCTATATATATTTTATTTTCTCCTTTTCATCTTAGTACAGTTGACAGAATTAGATCTGTGGTTTTATCGACTAAAAAATCTATATTTTTGTTTTGGCCTTTTGTTGTTTTTGGTTCTTTAATGAAATTGACCAAAAGATTGAAAGATGCCACAAAAAGTTTATAAAATGGAAAGCTTATAAACGAAACTGAAAAATTGGTAGAATTACCGAATGGTCCATATCTTTTAGGGAAAATGACCTCTACCCCCACCCTGAAATTTCCATCCCTATTAACCTTTTGGGTTCACCAAAATCCCCTGTAACCATTCAAGTTAAAATTTTGGGACCATGAACGCCTCAATTATGTTTTTTTTTGTTCTTTCTACAAATTTGATGTTTATATTTTACAATAGGTCAATTCCATCCGTTAGTAACTCTCTTCCCTTTCTATTTCGTTCCCCAAAATCAATTTTACCTCTGTGAACCTTGCTTTGCAAATTAAGACTTGCAAAGAAAATGAATTTTTTTAATATTATGTCCTATTTTACAATTGCATCAATAACATTTGAACTTGCAAGATGATTAACCTAAATCTTTATTACTATTGTTAATGGATTATTACTATTTATTTATTCATTTATAAAATAAATTTATCAAAATACTTATAAGAGATGAATTATTTTATACTTAATATATTGTTTTCTTCTTCTTCTTATTATTATTATTATAATCATCAATGAAATTTGTATATCAAGTAAAAACAAATGAAATATAGATGACTAATGTATGAGTTTGGCATTTTGTAAAATAAAAAGATCAAATTTGTAAAAAAAAAAAAACTACAATCGAGGGCTAATTGTCTCAATATTACCAGACCCGGACCCAAATAGCGTACAAGTACAAGATTTGGACCGGGACCTGACCGACCGGATCTAATTTTTGGACCCATATCCGGACCCAGATCGGGTCTACCCCTCGGGTCCCAAGTTTGGTTCGGGTCCATTGCCACCCCAATCATTCCCCTACCCCCACCACCCAACCCCTCCCCTCTCTCTCTAAAAACCCATTAGGTGTCTCACCCCAACACGCCCCTCTTTCTCTCTCTAAAAACCTGTTTTCTCACCCTACCATGCTCTCTTTCTCTCGGTAAAACCCCTTTCCTCACCCTACTGGCTCTATTTTCTGTCTAAAAACCCATTCTCTCTCCAAAAACCCATTTTCTCAAAACTTCTCTTTCCAAAACCCATTTTTTTTCCCTAGTTTTCATCACAGAAAGCCAGCCATTTCGAACAGGATTTAAGTCTAGATCCAGATCAGTTCCAATTTTGATAAAGTTAAAATATAATTATAAAAATTAAAATGATTATATATAAATTAATAAATATATAAATTATACCATATATATATATATATATTTATATGTATGTATATATAATAATATATATTATTTTAAAAACTAAATCGGATCCGGATCAAATCCACCTATATTGAGATCCAACCTGAATTACTATTCGGATCTATGTTTCGGATCCAAATCTTAGATCCACATCCATATCCGAATAGGCTTGTTATCAGCCTAGAATGGCCCGAATTCCCCACCTGACCCAGTCCAGATCATTGGGAGCCGTAACAACAACATTGAACTGCCACATACTTAGCCCAAATTGATATGTAAGCAACATACTTAACTTAGGGATGGTTTCGATGTTGCTAATGTTCAACTGCCCCATAGGGAAACTCAATTTCTGGGGTATTGTACCCGCAAGAGGTCACAAAAATAAGTAAAAAAAAAAAAAGAAATTCAATATTGCCAACAATGAATTAGGGGAAAACTGAAAAAAAAAAAGCCAAAAAATAGGACGATTCAAAATTAGGGACAACAGTATGTAATTCGGCATTTGTTCTCCGGCCCGTACTCAACAAAAAAAAAGAACCATGTCTTTACTCGGCCCAGCTCCCTTTAGTACCGAGGGACTAGACTAGGCCACTGAGCCCCAAAGTTCTTCTTAGCACGATAGACCAAAACGCGGGACTATGCTGGCAAACGCCCAAACGTATCATTAGCACGATTGACCAAGCGCCATTTCAGTGTTTGATGGCACGAATCGGCCGTGGAACCCGGCCTTGGGCCGGTTCTAAGTAACCAGAACCGGTCCTAGTTAGACAAGTCCCAGTTGGGCAAATAAGGGTTAATTATTTTTTTAAAAATATCAACTATCCCAAAATAAATAAGAAAAATATGTTTAAAATACAATTAAACAAAATACATTCAAATGAAATTAAAAATATAGAAAAAATTGATTTTAAAAAATCAATTTGTGCCCAGGGATATTTTGGAAACAATCAAAAAAAGAGATATATAAAAGTATGTATTTATGCTCAAAATACTTCCCAATCTTTTTCAAAGTAATAGAATGGTGTGGTTTGCATAAGGTTTCAACCTTAAACAATCCAATTAAGACACACCTCATGACTTTATCGTAAATGTAATTTTGATATAAAAATTCTTAATATGGCTTGAGAATCTATTTTTATCTCCAATTATAAAATTTTAAACTATAAAAATGGTTCAAATCAAGTAGATCTATAAGCACATGAAAATATTGAAAATGGACAGTCCAGACAATGTGTTGCAAGATATGTTATTTCGCTTACTCGATATAATTTTTCTTTTCATATTCATACATCTTGATGTTGAGATGATCAATTAGATGGTTTTCCAACATCCAAACAGCCTTTTTATGATGGATTTTTTATGTGCAGCTTTAATTCTACATTTTAAGGTTGCAATCTTATATAAAATTTTTTTGATAATAAAAAATATTAAAAAAATTATTACATATAAAAACTTTTTAAATTTTTTATTATTGTTTGATTTTTTTTAAGTTGGGGTGGTCTAGCTAGTTGACGTGTTCTAGGTAACCTGGTCGACCCAGCCCGTTTAACTTCCATATGCGTGCCCCAAGAATTTTGGTGGCTTGGAACTATTCTATTATATTATTCTTTCGTATCTGCTTTTTGGGTGAGGTTTTTATAAGGTGTCAACCTTATAGTATTAGAGTAAGGTGCAGCTGAAAACTATGTTGAAAGCATATTGATAAACACTTGAAAATAGACGGTCTCGATAACGTGTTAGAAAATAAACTAATTTTAGGACTAAAAATCCTTATTTTTTTTCATGTCTATGAATCTAGAAGTCAAAATAATCGATTCGAGGGAACAACCTTCTCCGGTATGTTTTTAGGTGCACCTTGCTCGTACACTATAAGGTTGACACCTTATATAAACTTACTGCCTGCTTTTTTTAGCCCTGGAGTAGTCTTCGTTTCACGTCGTATTGGCTACAATGGAAACTTATGGTTTGATATTGAAGATACGAAAGGGTCCGAGAATGAGAATGAGAGAGAGAGAGGTGCATATTCAGTGACAGGAACAGGCTTGTGATTCAGTCTATAAAGTGGCTAACACTAAGGGTCAAGAGCATGTGCAAACTCAACAAGTCTCCATCACTGCCTGGTTCACCAACTAAGAGAGAGAATCTATTAGCCTTTCTATGAGTAAATGATGAAGGATAGCAAGACAAACTTCAGTTCTTTTTTGTGCACATTGAAAAAGAGAGAGAGAGAGAGTCTATTAGCCTTTCTTCTTGTCTTTGAGTAATGTAAGAGATAAAGATAGAAAACTATTGTTCTTTCATATTCATATTGAAAATAGAGAGAGAAGAAATGCATTCATACCCATTGAAAATGGAAAGAGAGAGAGAGAGTGAGAGATCCACATTGAAAATCAAACATGTTTTCCTCATTAATAATAATCATAATTTGAATCAACAGATATCATCAATTGGAAACCATTGCACTATCCATCCATCCCATGAGTACCGAGAAGAAACAGCAGCAACAACATCAACAACAACGCTGATAACTTAGCAACACATCTGCGCTTGTTGCCTCCAATTCCACCACAATTCGAAACTGGATACGACTGAATGGGTGTCAAGGCAACACGCCGAGGTTGGAAATTAGGGGAAAAAAACTTTGAAAAAAGAAACTAAAACAGGACCCTAACGCCATTACTGCTACAAAGCTATTCATAGAGCATTTTTTTAATCCTCATATTTCACTTCTTATTTTTACTTTCTTCTATATTTTTTTTTCTAGTTTTTTTTAGAAAAATGTGGTCCTCTCTTTCTCTCCTTAAGTCACGCTTTCTCTGTCTAAAAAAAGATTCAGCAACGTGAGCCCTTCTTGCAATTGAGTGCTCCTGCCGACACGGTGATGCCCCCCACTAAAGAAGAGGGCCTTGCTGATAGGCTTGAGGCCCTGTTGTAGCTTGAAGAAGCCCCTGCGCCTGATGGTGTAAAGAATGCACCATTCAACATTAAATCTCCCTCTGATCTCCAATTCCAATTCTTCCACTCACTTTCTGGCGCATCCTCATGTTTCGTCACCTGCCCACACAAATGAGGCCAAATAAAATTAAAAAAAAAACAAAATTTAAAAATTACAGAAGAAAAAGAAAACGTCAAGCTTTTACCCTGGCCTAGTTCTCGAGCCAAATTTTATATTTTGTAGCCATATGGCGTGAGCCTTGATTTGTTTAGTAAGGGGACACGGTTTTCATGCAGCCAGCCCGCATACTGTAAAAGTGAGGGTGGCAATAACTATACTTTTTTAATATAATTTGATTACAATTTTTAGAGAATGTATCATAGAGATCATGAATATGAAAAACAAAAAAATTGAAAAACCATTAGTTACAATGGTTTTTAGATGGACATGCTTTATACCTCTACATCATATATTGTAAAAGGGGTGCAGTTTTCATACGGATGCCCCCGTAGGTGTAGAGGGACAGTGCCCTTCAAATTTTATCATGGTATATAATTTTGATGTAAAATGTTATTGGGGTTATCTCAAAATCTATTTTTATAGCTTATTATAAAATTTTAAATTTAAAAAATGGTTAAAATCAAGTAGATCTGTAAACATATGAAAATCTTGAAAATAAACCGTCGTAAAATGCACTATTTATAAGATTTAAAATCTTTTTATTTTTTATAATCATACATCTCGATGATCAATTAAATGGATTTTTAATATTAAAAACTACCTTTTCCGATAGTTTTTTTAGGAGCATTCATAGCTCTACATTATAGATAGCATCCTTATATTAACGTACGTACGTTTTCCTTATAAAAATGCTGTTCAGCCCAGATGAAACAATTAATTTTCCTTTGTTAGGGGACGAGCCATTGATGCCTAGTGATAGCTACCCTGGCCTAGTTCTCGAGCTACAGTTTGTAGCCATATGGCCCAGGCCACAGCTTGTCACGGCACTGGGCCCGGCCGAGCCACCTGAACCCTAGTGATAGCTCATTGTAGGTCGAGGAGAGTAGAATAATTGATAGATTGAAAAAGGGGGAGAGAAACACCAACGGGATTTACGGCAGACACTTTATTGGAATGTAGTTACCCTTTCACAACTTTTCAAGATTAAAACTCGATTTGAGGCAAAAACCAGTAAATTTTCTATAAAAGAAAACTAGAAACGAGAAAAAGAGACTTACGACCAATGACCAAAAGCAACTTCAAAGTTCGAGAAAGATTAAAGAAACCTAAATAGAAAAAATTCAAATCTAAAATATGTGGCAAAATGTGGCCCCCAACACAAGATTTTGTCCTTTAATTTGGCAGCTACTTCCCCCCTATTTTCTTGCAAAGGAATGAAAGTAACCAATCTAGAGAGAGAGGGGAGGGATGTAGAAATGAATTTAGAGAGAGAAAGAGAGAATGAATGTCGCATTCGGCTCAAAATTTGGCCAAAAGTAAGGCCGATGTGAAAGACCAGGGAAAAAGTAGGGGCGTCTCCTTTTCTATGTGGGCGATTTAGTACCAAGTGTAAATTAGTCCTCGCTCATCTCTCTCTCTCTCTCTCTCTCTCTCTCTCTCTCTCTATGTATCATATATCTTTCTCTCACCTCTTTGTTAAAGCGATCATCGGGTGCAAGAAATCTATTTCCTTGACTATTAATGGTTGGTGATGCGCTTCCACCAATTGCATACATCTCCCAATGTGTATAATCATTGTTCACCACATGGAAATAACCAAACCTACACCTGCAAACAAACAAGGGAATATCACCTCTTTGTCAAAACTCGCTCATCTCACTAGAAAACGAACGGTGAACTCCAAATAAACACAAACACAAAGTAAATGTTACATAAGGGATTGCATAGACAAACTGCATACATACACCGACTGAGAGAGAGAAAGAGAGATATTGAGACAGTCAACAATGTAAGAGAGAGATTCAACCATTGAGTAAGAGCATGCTAAAAGTTTTTTTATGGAGGGGAGTATAAGAGAGATAGCAGTGTAGTAAAAGCATGACTTGGCCCAGAACCCAGCCATGGGCTGGGCTGAGTAGGTCCAGGGGGCTAAAAAAAGTATTCAAAATTAGAAAATACAAAAAATCCCCTTAAAATACGGCAAATTATGTGTAAAGTAAAATTAAACAAAAACAAATATAATGATATTAAAAAAAAAAGTAGTAAAAAATGGATTTCGAAAAAATCTATTTGTTACGAGGGTATTTTAGAAAGACGAAGGTATTTTAAAAATAATCAAAGAAAGGAAAAATGCTATTATTAATGGCCAAAACACTTTTTGTCCTTGTCAAAATTATAGCTAACATAAAAAGACATGTTACAAAAATTTTTTATTTTTTTAAATTTTTTATAACTAATCTTTAAATGGTAATCTTGAAATACTTGATCTTCTCGTGGTAAAAATAAATCGTTCGGCGATTCCAAGTTGGCTCGCCCACTGGCTTCGACCATTTGACTACCAACATGATTAAGAGGTTGGAGTCGAGTCCAATATGAGGAAAACTTGCAAGAGAGAGGAGTCAAAAGAAGTTTAGAGAGAGAGAGAGGACAAGTTCGAGAGAAGTTTAGAGAGAGAGAGAGAGAGTCTTTGTTACCTAGGCATCCTTTGAATTAGGCCTTCCCCAAAGTGATTAAAAGCAATAGTGACCTGCATATTCTTATCCTGCGCATAAGAATCACTATGCCCCAACAGCATAACCTTATCATGGTGGGTCATATAGTTATTCGAAATAGTAATAGCAGTAGACCCATGTATAGCATCAATCAGACCATCCCTGCAATTGCTCAAAGTGCAATGGTCCACCCAAATATGGCTTCCCCCAAATATGGACACCCCATCACCGTCCGATAGAGTCCTCCAACCGTAGTGATTAGGCGAGTCCCTAACCATGGCATTTCCCCCTTGTTTACAGTCATGTATATGAATTCCATGTATAATGATGTTGGTCACATACTGTACAGTAATACATGGGCCATTGGCTATATGAACACTGGCTCCTCTTCCATCTATGGTCTTGTATGAATTCATGATAAGCTCTTCTTTTAGAGTGATGGTCATGTCTCTGGCAAAAATGATCCATAGAGGCTCATCTTGAATCACTGCATATCTTAGGGTTCCGGGCTTTGGGGTGACGGGATTGTCGTCGGAGGGGTCGGTGACTGTGTAGATTTCGCCGCCCTTGCCTCCCACCGAGTTCTTGCCGAAGCCGATGGCACAATCGGCAAGGCGTTGGCGGTTGGTAGCCCAGTCGGGGTCGCACCGCCAGCAGTCGTCAATGGGATTGCCGGTGTTGCACGATAGGTACCCAAGGTTTCGACGGGAGTGGTTGAGAGACCTGCAAGAGAGAAACAGAGTTGGAGGCACTTGTATGTGAATGGAAAATGCCCATTATAGTGGTTGCAAATAAACTGAAAAGACACTTTAAAACGCAGCTTAATATGAAGAAAATTGAAATGTGGTATTCGTTATTGTCTAATGCAAGGAAATAACAAAAGGAAAAAATGTATCTGAATTTATTTAAAAAAAGAAAAAAGTGTGCCGATCTTTGAAATTTTAATGGAAAAACTCCAAGCAAAAATGCAGAAACAAATGAGCACAATGTAGTTTTCTGAAATGCAGGCACAAAAAAGGGAAAATACACAGACAAAGAAACTTGTGATGAGAAAAACTTAGACTAAACTAAAATGCATATTCATCAAATGGGTACAAGAAAAAAAACAGAGCAAAATCTCTTCATTTCCCACCTCTCCACTTCTTCAACTACTGACTCTGGTTCTTGCACCTGAGGGAGCACACGAGAGGAAATGCAGGTTGTGTAGAGAAAGAAACAGAGTAAGAAGAGAGAGATTGCAGACATGGAGAGTGTCGGCATGTTGAAAAACTGAGAGAGAGAGAGAGAGCTAGAAGGAAAGTTCAGAGGGGAAAGATGTGAGAAATGGGGGTGTTTAGAGGGGGTTTTAAAGCAAGAAAGTGGGGCAGAGTGTGTGACTAAACCATAACTTTTGGGTCACTTGGTACGTGATTTGTGGGTTTTACAGGATTCTTATCGGTGGTTTAGGCCGTTAACTTAGGGGACAAAACCATGAAAGTCGTTTCTCTCTCTATGAAACTTTCTCTCCCTAAAAATACGTATCAAAATGAATAAATATCTTATTTTTTATTGAAACTGCATATCTTCTACTAGTTTATCCACTCCACGTATTTCCTATATCGTTTCATTTCTTCTAAATTTTAGCTTGCTAATTTTGGTTATTTTGTGGTAGGGAAAGCTATTGAAATATCTTTCCGCTTCTTGCACCATCAACTAATTGAAGGGGTTTTTGAAGTGGGAAAAGTTTAAATGCAATCTCATTCAAATGCGTTTTTTTTTTGGTAAATAAGTGGGGGAGAAGGCCTCTGCGTGGTTTTTAATAATCCAAGATAGAAAAAAATTACATCATACTATTTTACAACCCTCCAGTAGGATAATTGTGCCACATCATGTAGTAAAGGAAGATGAAGGAAATCGGGAGATCTGGAGTGCCAAATGGTAGCTTCCGTTAAACTTATAGCCTTCTTCGCAAGAACATCAATCACCATGTTAGCCTCACGATAGACATGACATATAGACCATGAAAAATTCTCAATACTGAACTCACAATTAGCAGCTATATTATGGAGAGCCCATGGACGTTTAAATCAATCACTTGACATGCAATTTTTTAGGGTAAGGTTTGTATAGGGTGTCCACTTTATATTATGTCGATAATGAGAAAGCATATAATGAGACTATTTACTTTTTGTAATGGTCACAATTAATCTTGATTGAGAATGGGGTGGGGGTCGTGGTGGTAGCACCATTTGTGCTCCAGCTAAGGTCTAGGCTTCTATTATCATCTAATGCATTAAAAAACTGCTAACGATTTCAAAGAAAACGGGTAAGGTTCATCATCCCCACTTAATTACCTAAAAAAATTATTAATCTTGATTATTGGATTTCAAATTGGGAAGTTTTATTTATTTCATCGACCAAGCTCAAAGTCCAATTTTTTTTTGAGAACATTGTGACACATCCAAGCTATCAGATTTAACATTGTATAGTTATAATTAATTGTGCCGTCCTTATATCAAAGATAAATAGTCTCATCATATATAATACCATAAGTATTACCCTTTCCTCTAAATTCTCCAAACATAGTAAAATAACTCTTCTTAAAAATAAGAGAAGAATAAAATTGCGCACAAAATTCAGTTGTATTTTGGTTATTTTTAATGAGTTTAAACATAGTGAAAGAACTTTCTTAAAAATAAGAGGAGGATAAAATTGTCCACAAAATTCAGTAGTATTTTGGTCATTTTTTAATGAATTTGGTTTATGCAACCTCTTTTTTTTTTTTAGGTAATTCAGTGGGGGTGATAGGTTCCTACTCAATTTTTAATTACTTTGTGGTTTTTGAAGCTGTCAATGGGAATGAAAGCCACATCATGTAACCGAAATATGTGGTGTGCCTGAAACACAAGAAGCTTTTAGTGGTTTTTGAGGAGCTTTTAGTACCAGAGACACAAGAAGCCACTCTAGTGGCTCCCACGATTGTAAATTTCCTTCCAGACAGGTGCCTTACAAAGGAAAATTGTGATGCATACAAATGAAATTTCCCTTGAGGAAATTTGAAAGTGCGTATGGGACCATATGGCTTCGGGGTGGAGTTTGATATGTTCAGCTGGGATGTTATCAAGAGTGATCTCTTAAGTGCTCTTAAGGACTTCTTTGGTAAATGAAAGTTTATCATAGCCGTTAATTCTACCTTTATATGTCCGATTCCTAAAGTCTCCTGCCCCACTACTATGAGGGATTTCAGACCAATTGACTTTTGTAATGTCTTGTACAAAATTATTAGTAAGATAGTGGCAAACAGGCTCGGGAGGGTACTTAATGGATTAATCCATCCTTGCCAGGTTGCATTTCTCAAAGGGAGGCTAATCACAGATAATGTCCTCATGGCCAATGAACTGATCTCCTTGTGCCACAAGAATTCAGCCAGACCGAAGATGTGCCTTCAGTTGGACCTCAGCAGCGCCTATGATAGGGTCTCATGAGGATTCATATCCAACAGACTACATGCAATGGGATGTCCAAATATTTTTATAACCTGGGTTCAACATTGCATCACTACCCCATCATTCTCTATCTTGCATAATGGATCCCCTGTGGGCTATTTCAAGAGTAAGAGAGGCCTTAGACAAGGTGACCCTTTATCCCCATACCTCTTCCTCCTTGTCATGGACTATTTCAGCAGAATGATCGATGCAACTATTGTTGACAAATCACTCCCCCCTCCTTTCCCATCGGGGTGCAACTATGAGGTCACTCACTTCCTTTATGTAGACGACGCCCTCATCTTCAGTGAGGCTTCGACCTCAATGGTAGGGACCATTAGGCACATATTGATGTTTTTTGCTGAGTGACATGACAAAAACTCAATCCTCACAAGAGCAAAGTCATGTTCTTTGGGGTTAGTAGTAGTCTGAGAGCACATAATCTTATTAGGAAGACCATTGCTCGGATTGGCTCATGGTAAGCATTATCTTTATCATTTGCAAGACGATTAAAACTCTTAAGATCAGTACTCAATGCTTCTTCCATTTACTGGTTGCTCTCCTTATGTCTCCCAAGCCGCACTTGCACTATGATTGATAGAATCCAACGCAACTTTTTGTGGGTAGGGACTTCAAAGAATAAGGGTTTCCACTTGGTGAATTGTGATACTTTATGTTAGAAAACAGATGAAGGGGGCCTTGGGATTCGTAGACTCCATGACTTTAATATGGCGGGCATGATGAAGATAACATGGAGAATCATCTCCAATTCCTCTTCTCTCCTCTCTCGATTCTTCAAACATAGGTACTTTCTTCACTCGTGGGTCTGGAATACTCACCCTAAGTGTTGCTCACATGCCCGGAGGGGTATACTAAAGGGTTTGAGTAGATTGCAAGGCCATATAAGATGGATACTTGGTGATGGCAAGCTAGTGGACTTTGGGGCTGACCCATGGCTTTCAGAGCCCTCCTTATGAAAGCTATATGGTGCCGATGCTCATGAGATCTTTGAGAATCTAGCAAAACCTAATGTCTCAGATTACATTGAGGGTACACCACAAAATGGATTCTTCTGATACCTACCTCTAACTCCACTCATCTGTACATGGGAGGAGATTTATTCATATATGCTCCCTATCTACCTCTCTCCAGACTAATTGGTATGGATTCACTCAACCAATGGCAAGTTCTCTGTTAGTGATGCTTGGGACCATATCAGACAAAATACGCCCATGCAATGAGCTTTCAGGGCTCTTTGGAAAACCCCATCCCATGCTAGAGTAAAATTGTTTCCTTGGCACGCCTTGCACTTCCGATTACCCATCACGATCGTCCTCCAGTTTATGGGCCTTCCTTTGGTCTCTGGATGCCCCTTCTGCCTCCAAGAGGAACTAATTTGACCATATCATTATACAATGTGTGTTTTCGAAGGTGCTTTGGAGATTTGGCAAATACATACCACTTAAGCAATTTGTAACCATGATGATGGCAAAGTGGCTAAAGTTCCAATTCAGATCCATTGGTATGAAGGACATTTGGATTTCCACTTTCTGCACCACTGACTGGCACTTGTGGGTCGAGCGTAATGTACGTATTCATGAGGGGAGAAGGACCTCTAGGGAGCACCTCCGAGGGCGCATCATCCAGCAAGTTAGCAGAAGGGAAGGGTTGGGCTTTCTACCCCTCTGAGATTCATATTTCCACAAACTTCAAGTTAAGTGGCATATCGTGCCCCCCTCCACCCCAATCCTGATTGCAACGCATCTCCCACACATAGGGTATTTTAATTCAGATCTAATGGTATGAAGAACATTTGGATTTCCACCTTCTGCACCATTGACTGTCACTTGTGGGTCGAGCGTAATGCACGTATTCATGAAGGGAGAAGGACCTCTAGGGAGCACCTCCAGGGTTGCATCATCCACTTTGTGAGCAAGTTAGCACAAGGGAAGGGTTGGGCTTTCCACCCCTCTGAGATTCATATTTCCACAAACCTCAAGCTTAAGTGGCATATCGTATCCCCCTCCACCCCAATCCTGATTGTAAGGCATCTCCCACCCATAGGCTATTTTAAACATAACATTGATGGCTCGTCCTTTCGCAACCCAAGTACCGCGGGATGTGGGGGGATCACCAGAAATGATACAGGTGGCTTCGTAGTGGCCTTTGCTCTCCCTCTTGGCACCAGCTCTAATAATGCCGTTGAGTTCCATGACCTGGATTGAGGCATCTCCTTGGCGCATGATATAGATTGTTGCCCTCTTATCATTGAGAGTGACTCCAAGTTCCTAGTTGACTCACTCACCTACCACAACTCTCCCCCATGGAGGCTTCGCATCCTCTTGTCCAACTGTAGGGTAAAGCTCTACTCTTGGCAGATCACTAGTGGCAGATATTGCACATATTCCGGAAGGCGAATCTGACTGCTGATTGCCTTGCTAAGCAGACGACATTCATGACGCAAGCCACAGTTTGGCGGGCCCGTCCCCCTGATTTTGTCTCTCCCTTTATTTCGAGGGATAATATCAATGTCTCTTTTGAAAGACATGGTTAATTTCTCGTACATGTTCTCCTCTGTGATGTAACATTTTTCTTGTGTTCATTAATAAAAACAAAATGGGTAGGGGCTCGTTATCCCCACTTATTTACCCAAAAAAAAAAATGGAGTGTACTACCGCTACGACCTCAGCCCCTTTCCCAAGTGCCAGTGAGAATGAAGGCTAAGGCTTTTAAATGGGCTTAGATGGTACTACCACGACCCAACCCCATTCCATACAACCCTCTTAATAAAAGAAAGAAACTTACACATTGGTTGTGCTCATTTATTTTTGGTATTAAACTTGAGACATTGCATGAGCATTTGGT